TCAGGGTGAGAAGGGAGGCATATAAATGTCATAAATAAGTACATGTATATGTGTTCTTTGGTATGCAATTTTTCCTAACTCTATGTTTTTGAAGTTGTGAGAGGGGCTGCTGACCATGTGACCAGATCAGGGACTGTTTAGAACTCAGTTAAAGAACTCAGTTGAAGATGACAGTTGGAAGCACACAGTTATAAAGGAGAGTTGTACAGAACTGTATAGTTTTGAAGAGAATGATAAAGATTGAAAGTTAAAGACACAGACTAAAATGTTTTAAAGTTTAATCTAACAAGAAATGTGCCTGTATATTTAAATACATGAAGTTGTGAGTACATCAAACATGTTATTTTAAAGAAGTCCGTGTGAATTTTTGTCTCCTGAGAGCATGAAATAGAAACAAGATATTTATGGGAGAGTATATGTTTTTGAACACTAAACAACACTTCTAGAGATCTGCTATCTGTCTGTCTATCTATCTATCTATCTATCTATCTATCTATCTATCTATCTATCTATCTATCTATCTTGTCCATTGGCATATTCTCTGTTCCTAATAGTTCAGAGTCACCTGGAAATCAGTCTAGCAGCTGAAAACCAATTGCCAAGCATAAATGCACGTGAATACCGTTTCTTTTCTTAAAAGATATAAAGATTATGGCTTTCCAATGCTCCAATAAGTTATGATCCTAACAGGTCATAATCCTCCATTTGGTTATGTTACCAGTGATTACCAATATCCAATAGATTATGAGCCCAGCCATAGAGTGACCTTGTGCAAATTCTTCGATCTCAGAGGAAGGTAATGGCAAACCTCATCTGAATCTTGTATGAGAAGTTCACCTTCGGGTTGCCCTAGGCCAGTAACAACTTGAAGGCACAGAACCAGTAATGCAGTTTGTGTGGTGCTGCTTTTAAAAAGTATTTAGATGTTGCCGCTAGTGTAATATACCTTCTGAACCACTGTTTCTGAAACTGTGGGCCCCAATCCCAAATGGGCCCCCCCTTAGCTCAGTGTTGTGGCCACAAACATTTGGTCATATTAAATGGTTTCTGAATGCCACCCATTTACATAAATCTTTTAGTAACAACATGCAATGTTTAAAGCGGACTTTGCAGAAAATGATTTATTTGTACTCCATAAAAAGAAAAATCACCCTATTTTACAAACTTTGCAAATGTTGACTTATTAAATGTCAGTGCTGATTTTAACCCTATTTTATGTACCTATATACCTGAGGGCATGTACACATTTCTCAATCAGATAGGGGCTGTGAGTGGGGAAAAAATAAGAACCCATGTTCTAGGCTAGAGTCATAATATCTATAGATTCTCCAGCAAGATTGTATGGTCAACTTGTAGAATCATAGAAAAACATAGAATCATAAAATTAGAAGAGATCCCAAAGGCATCCAGTCCACCCGCATTTTGCCATGCAGGAAAATACAAAAGAGCATTTCTTATTTGCAGTTTCAAGGGGATCCCAATTCTAGTAAACAATGGGGGCTCAAAGTATTAGATTTGGTGTATCCTTTGATGCAGCAGTTGGACTCTTGTATTTTCTGGGCATGAATGTCCTTTTGCTAATAAAAGCCTGTTATGCTGAAGGGAGAAGAGATGGCTCCAAGGTGATGTCATGGACTTAATACAAAAATAATTAAATATTGTGTGCTGAAGCTTTAAACTACATCTTGTGCTGTCTTCATGCCAAGTAGTTGCACAGATGATGCAAGGGGCATTTATGTTAATATAATCTGACATCACTTCTTTGGAAATCTTAACAAAGGCTGGCAGTTCTGTTCATTGCCAGTGCTGAACAAATTATAAATGAAGCAGAAAGAATCTTGAAATATTTGTGTTCCTTTTTGGATTCAGCTAGGGTTTATTAGAATGAATGCAAAATATTTCTTTGTCATAGTTATTTGTTCTCATTTGACACTGCCTGATTATGTTTTAAACAATGCAGTGTTGCATGTTGAGGAAGAGGTGGGGAAAACCCAATATTGATGTGTGGATAGCATCAAAATATACATGGAAAAAGTCCAAAATTTGTGTTACTGGCATTTGAGTATCCCTAAAAGTTTTCTATTTGAAATTAGAGTGCAAAGTTTATTATAATAATCTTTATTCACATTTTCCATATACATATGATTAAAAAGCGAAGTTTACGATTTAATTAAAAATAGCTTAGTCTAGAAAGTCAGAAGGGGAGGGAAAGGGCAAGCGAGGAAGAAAAGGAGGATAGGCCTAGGGAGGTAGGAAGTGAAGGAATGTGGGGGTGGGAAAAGACGAAAAGAGAGGGTGTAGAGGTGCATTAAAAAAAATAGAGACAAAAATCGAGGTTTCCCCCTTCCTTCGGGCTGTCTTCCGAGTGTCTTCGGCAAGGAGTTTTCCTTTTCTTTCTTCTTTCCTTGTTTCTCCTTATTCATTTAGTTTTGGTTTCCATTCGGGTCATGGAAATTACGTTCCTCCCATCTTTAACTTCTAAATCATTTCTGTCCAAAGTATTCATCTATTCTTGTCCAGTCTGTTTCTTTTTCTATCTTTCCTTTATATTTCTGCATTAGGTAACTTAGTTTGTCCATGTTCTTTACTTCCAGGAGCTTCAAAGTTAAAATGCTACATTCTGGAATTTTACAGCATTTAAAGGCCAAGCTCAAAAAAGAAGAAAAATCTTATATTGTGCCTATAGTGAAATTTTCACTTGCTGGACTAAGAATGAAGATGGGCACATTTTATGTTATTTTGTTTTAATTTGTTTTACTTCCTGATTTTGCAGATTTTGGGGAGACTCACTTGATGCTACACACATAGACACAAAATAATTCCTTGGTATTTGAAATATTTGTACACCATAAAATGCTGGAATTACTACAATTAGAAAGCATGCAACAACAGTGTATGTACTAGCATATGCTGTATTAGTAGGGAATTAATGTGGAAATAACAAGGTTTCCTGTTCATTTCCTTTTTCACAAGTCATTTGTTATTGTTTTTAATGTAGCTAAATACTTCTTATTACCTTTTGTTGAAAGTAGCAATGTATGCCAGCTTCAATGATCAGTTTGAGGACAATTTTGAAAGCTGAGAGAGATGTGGATCTTTCAATCTCTTCCAGATTTCCTTCCTTTGCTTGTCTCCTAAAATGAAGTTTTGCCATCACTGTAATAATCATTGTGTTAATTTGCTTAACATTTTAAAATGATTCTGAAATTAGTTACTGCTATTGGGAATAATGCAAGATTTAAAAATGGGATGATTTCAACTTTTTTTGCAACAGGAAAGCTATGGTGCAATCTTATATGTGTCTACTCTGAAGTATGCTCAACTAAATTTGAATGGTATTGTAGTCTTATTCTCAAAGATAAATGTCTAAGTTGTGCCACGAGAAGCATTGATAGTGAGATCAGGACAGCGGACAGCGAAACTTCAGAGCATGGATACCGAGACCCGTTAGGCAGTGAATCGATACCACCAGCCAGGACCATAGCCAGGATTTTGATTGGGGGAGGGGAGGCTGAGTTTGATTCGGGGTGGGGGGGGCTGAGTCTGAGTGAAAGAGGGTCTACCCTAGCAAACCTTTTGTATTGTTACCCCAATACCCCCATGCATGTGGGATGTATTGAGTATGGTGATCAGATCATGATATGAATAAACATAACAGTTTAAATAATGCACCAGTAAGGCCTTCTTGTGGACCACCATGAGAATTTCGGGGGGGGGGGCTCAAGCCCCTCAAACCCCCCCCCCCCCCGCCCGCCTACATGCCTACCAGCAGCAGACCGCCTATGGATCCATGCCTGGCCAGGCCTGGAAGCTATAACCTATTTTTCCTTAATCGAGAGATCTCACCAGTTGAAGAAGAAAGGCACTGAGATATTTTACTGCGATCCAGCTGGAAGGGATGACAGTTTGCAGTGTCGCTAAAGGAAGCTGAGATATTCGGCATAGCAAAAACAGACCTTTTTACATATAGAAATCCTTGTTTTTCCTACACTTGCTCTAGCTGGAGCTGGCTTCATGCTGATTGGTGGAGCTCTGTTGACATCATGGCCAACTGGGGAGGATTCCCTTTGAGAGGTGGGACATCGGTGCCCATCAGCCAATCAGAGAGTGTTCCCTGCTTCGAATGCACATTCTTGCTCTCCAATGGCTGACAGGGCAGAATGGTTGTCCAGGCAAATGAATGCAAAATGTCATGAGGGGATTACCATGTCCCAGCTTTGGGACAAACAAAGAAGGGCCTTCAGATCCCATGAGTTCTATTGTTGAGATAATGGTTTCATGAGTACTCAGCGAATGAGTCTAGCACCTCTGGTGCTACTGTCCATTGAGTTCCAAATCAGAATATTGTCCAAGATGATGGGATCATGAAGTCTGTTCTTGGGAAAGGGGAAATGGCATTGTGGATGACCAGGACAGGACCTCCTGGCATACTGGAGAAGTGCTGGGTGAGGATTGTTCTCTTTACGTCCAGGTGACTGCACAAAGAGCGGGCAGCCCAGCTTATGGATCTTTTCGTCCTCTGCATACTTGGGGTTATGGGCATCAATAGAGATCGATTGATCCCAGTGATAAAGGGTGCATGGATCCTATTGTTCTGATTATGACCAGGAAGAATTGATGGAGACTCCCAGGTCAAGGGGTGCAGAAGAAAGGTTACCTGAGCCTCAGATCGGTGGCTTAATTCTCCAAAAAGTGTTTTATATAGAACAGAAAATATAACACATTAAACATATACACAAATGGGGGACCTAATCATGGGAGCCAGGAGTACCCAAGGGGTGAATGTGACTGGAGGTTCATTGGAGTGGAGGTTAAGTAAATATAAGGGGGAAAAGAAGAAGCGTCCCACTCTGGTGGTTTCTCCCAGACTCTGTCTCTGCCCTCCTTTCCCCCTTCCTTTTTGTACCATGTGCATTGAAATGCTCGCTGGGCTTGTTGCCATGGCAACAGTAGATAGTCTTCTGTCGTGGCATTTTGATTGGTCAGGGTCAGTTTTGCCTCTTTTTGTTGAGGGTGGGGTGGAGGGTCTACTAGAATGAGAACAGGATGGAAAGAAGCCAAAGGCGTTGTTCTTGCCAGTGTGATGTGTATGGTTTGGTATAGGAGGATTGGGGGCAGTGGTCCTTCTCAGCAGCAGTGTGCTTGACTGTATGTTGTTTTAGATTGTGCACGTGAGCATGCTTGCATGCAGAGCAAGTGGGTAGTGCCTGCTCAATTTGCTCTTGACTCCTCCGGCACTTCGATGTGCTGCTCAGGCTGCCTTCAAGCAGAGAAGCACTTTGTTCTGTCATCCGACGCACAACACACACGAGCAGAGATCAGCATTGCTAGATCAGAACATTGCTGGAGGCCAGAACCTGCTTAGACTACCACAGACTGTAGGAGCTTTTCTGGAGCATGGTTGTGGATTGAGGTAAGTGATCTGCATTGCATGGTACACATGTGTAGAAGTCTGGAGGTTTTTGCATGATGAGACTTGGTGATGGTCTGTCAGAGGTTTTAAGGAATCATCATGATCTCTCTCCTACAAAAGATCAGTTAGGAATCCATCTCTTCATAGACTTATGCAGTCTCTTTAAAAGAGAAAAACTGGCATTATCATCACCATCATCATTATTATCATTATCTTATTGTTTCCTCAAACTGAATGTCACCATCGTATGACATGTGGCTGCTTCTTATGCCTAAATCCCTCCTTTGCGTGGAAATTCAATGTATGTGATACATTTATGTGGCTGCATTGGTGAAATGCAGAGCCATCGAAAGACAGGTAGGGAAAGGAAAATGCTATGCCTAAACTAGGTCATTAAGTAGGCTGTTGTTAAAATAGTTCAGCAAAAGGGGGTTGAAAGTAGCTATGGCCCACTTGATCACTAGGCAGGGTGACGCATCTGCCTCAAGAAGTAGATTTTTCATATACTGTAATAAAAGGGGAGGAAATGGCTAGTCATTTACTTTATTATTATTGTATTTTGATTGCCAGAGGAGAGGTGCTGCTCGGCTATATTCCTGATGTCAAAATAATTTGGCTGACTTTGAGTATTATGCACTTTTACTTGGGTGACTGGTTCTACTTCATATAGCATATATTGGAGGAGGGGGAAGAAAAAGAATATATATGTCATAGACATTCACCAATTGGGAATTCTTTTTATAGCCAATTGGGAAGGAACCCCCAGAAGCACAATGGATTAAACCCTTGTGCCAGCTGAACTGCTGTCTGAAAGGTCGGTGGTGTGAATCCAGGGAGCGGGGTGAGCTCCCATCTGTCAGCTCCAGCTTCTCATGCGGGGACATGAGAGAAGCCTCCCACAGGATGGTAACACATATGGGCGTAACCTGGGCAATGTTCTTGCAGACAGCCAATTCTCTCACACCAGAAGTGACTTGTAGTTTCTCAAGCTGCTCCTGACACACACACACACAACCGCACCCCCCAACCAATTGGGAATATGAAAAAAAAATCAAAACATGTCTGGACAGTATTCTACAGTACTGTATAAACGAGGTAGGTAGTGATGGTGATAATTCCCCAAGAGGTCTAAACAATTAGGCTCTATTGTACTCACATTTCTGTTTCTAATGTAAGGCATTTTAGTTTCTGTTCCCTAGAGTCATTTAACAGCATTTAATTTTGTAAGCTATATCAAAATGATTCAGAACCAGTACTTATAGAGTTCAAGAGACCATAAGGCCATCCAGTCCAACCCATGTTCAAAGTCTTCAAACATGATCTTTGAGGAAAGAACAAAGGGAAATGTATCACATTGGGTGTAGAATGTGAGTGAGGTGTGTGTGTGTTTTAAAAGAAAATTGAATTATTGTTTTCCAGCCCTAATGAACCTTGCATAGTAGAGTTGACATTTACAGTGCAGTCCTATATGTGTCTACAAATAAATAAATCTTATTGGGTTGAATGGGATCTATTCTTTCTATGTGTAGGTACAGAGTATACAGTAAATATAGACAGGGTTATATGGTGGTACAGCAGGTTGAACCTCTGAGCTGCTGAACTTGCTAACCGAAAAGTTGGTGGTTTGAATCTGGGAAAAGGGGTGAGCTCCCGCTGTTAGGCCCAGCTTCTGCCAAACTAGCAGTTTGAAAACATGCAAATGTAAGTAAATCAATAGATACTGCTTTGGCGGGAAGGTAACGGTGCTCCATGCAGTCATGTTGGCCACATGACCTTGGTGGTGTCTATGGACAATGCCGGCTCTTCGGCTTAGAAATGGAGATGAGCACCACTCCCCAGAGTCAGGCAGGACTAGACTTAATGTCAGAGGAAACCTTTACCTGTACTATAATCTTAATGCCTGAATGCAATAAAGTCCCATTAAAACCAGTTATATTTCTGAGTAAATGGGAACAGGATTGTAGTACTACAATACCAGAACAAAAAGGGGAAAAAAAGGTCTCTGTGTAGCTACATTTATAATTGGATATGATATTTTGTTTTTAATTGATGTGTCATATGTATGGCACCTGCTTCTTGCTTGGTTAAGTATTCAAATTCAAAAAAGTCACATTTCCAAGCTCTTTTGCTTAAGGAGTTGCTAGAGTAAGTAATATAGAAGCCTCTTTGGGGCTTAGTTAAGTGAAAATTTCCATTGCCATTATGAGACTTGATAAAGAGGATAGAGAGTGTTACAGCTAAGGATTAGAGTATTGTTTCCTTTCCAAACGTACGACACGCCCATTTCTTTCTGAAGAGATGCCTTTATTCATTGTTTCCTTCATATCTTTCTTGTATCTGTTTTTTTGATAAAAAAAATAAGGTCAGAGAAGGAAAGGCCTTTCATTTGTAGATTAAATGTTCACACAGGAAACAACTGACTGACTTTCAGATGATTTTTAGAAGTATTTTTCTATACAGGAATGAGAAATGAATGTCCCTTTCTCATGAATCACAGTGACCTTGGCTATTATTATAATTTTATAAATTACACTATGTTCAAGGGTTATAAATTTCATTTTCTAATTGGTTCTGTCATTTAAACATGGGAAATTTTTTATTAAATTGCAAAAACTTTGTTTTTGTGGAACATTCTGTAGCATATTTTGCTGTAGTTTTTCAATGAATATTTCATAGAGTCTTAACCAATTTAACATACTTAACATACAGCCACTAAACAATAAAGTATACTTTCAAAGTAAATACAGCACAATTATACAGCAAATAACACTTTCAAACCAGGAACATTGTTTTTTCAAATTTTGTTATATTGTGTTATCGATTAGTTCATCTCGTATTTATCCTTACCAGATTTAAGAAAACATTGAATTCAATGTATAATGCAATCTGCCAGGGCCAGATCTACCATTACGTAGGGTGAGGCAGAATGAGGCAACTGTCACTGAACATAGATTTCTACTTCATCACACTAGAGAATGAATCTACTTTAAATCCGGTTTCTGCCTCCTGCAGAATTCTGAGGTTTGTAATTTAGTGAAGCTGTTAAAGGCTCCTCCCTAAACCATAAAGCCCAGAATTATGAAGGCAGCAACCAGATTTAAAGTGGATTCATTCTCTAGTGTGATGAAATATTTTGAGTGCAATAGAAAGGCAAAAAATGGTTAATAGTTCACTTTGTTATTACTGTATTTTGACTGTCAAGGGAGAGGTGCTGTTTGTGTGGTCTTATTCCGCACATGACACAATAACTTGCATGCATCAGGACTTCAGGCCTAGATCACGTGATAACTCTGAGACAGCCCAGCACATAAGCCTAGATGATGTACTTGATGCAAAGCTGGGGTTTGACACATTTGAAGAGACAGTCATGTAGTGCAGGTACTAGATGTTGGATTCTGGCACTGCATTCTTTGCAGAGGGGCCAAATGAGCTACTTTGCTACTTTCCTTTTGACAATCACAAGAAGCACAGATTTTTAAAAATGGTATTTGAGTCTAGGGGTTCAAATAAAGTTAGTGAATGGATTTACTGTATATACTTGAGTATAAGCTGACCCGAATATAAGCCGAGGCACCTACTTTTACCATAAAAAATTGGAAAAACATATAGACTCGAGTATAAGCCGAGGGTGAGAAATGCAGCAGCTACTGGTCAATTTCAAAATAAAAATAGGTACCAATAAAATTACATTAATTGAGGCATCAGTAGTTTAAATGTTTTTGAATATTTACATAAAACTGTCATTTACGATAAAACTGTCCAACTCTGATTAAACCATTCTTCTAATCTTCTTCAATATAAATGTGCTCCTGTGTCCTTCCAATAGTAATAAAGAGTCTAAAATAATAAATGTAACAATAATAATAGAGTAAAATAATGGAAATGTAATAATAACAGTAATAATAAAGTTAAATTATAAATGTAATAATAATAGAGTAAAATAACACATGTAATAATAATAATAATAATAATAATAATAATAATAGAATGAAATAATAAATAACCTTGACTCGAGTATAAGCCAAGGGGGCTTTTTCAGCCTAAAAAAGGGGCTGAAAAACTAGGCTTATGCTCGAGTATATACAGTAATCCCCTCTTGTGGGCTGTAATTTTATTCTGTAGTAGCATTATTATTTTTACAATACAACTGATTTTATCTGGATGTTGATGGTAACATTAGCAGGATTGGCTGAGTAGTACTCTGGTTGCAGATGCTGGAAGGTGGCAGCATGGAGCTGGAGAAGAAAAGACTACTGCCTTGCTGCCTTCAGGCCTGGGAAACGATGCTCTCTCACTGCAAGGATGGAAGAAGGGCTCAAAAGCCAATCCAATCAATTCTTGTATGTGGAATGGGAAGGACAGACATCTTGTTTACTGCCTCGTGTATCAAACTATATGGGGCCAGCTCTGGACCTGAACTGAAAAGAATGATCAAAGTATTTTATTTAGAGTTAATAAAGTCCTTAATATATAATACACCAGATAAAAAAGAGGTATATGCATACACATTATGAAGTCTTATTATTCTGTCTTTCCTATTAGGAATGCTGTGACAGAACAAACATTTAAGTGGGAAAGAATCAGTTGTTCAAGGTAAGCCACTGTTTTGCTTAATCAGCAAAGATTGTTCTTTGACAACCCTAGTATAATTCCAGTGCATTGTGCTACACAAAAGGTCTTCAAATGGAAACACTAATTAAAAGGGAAAGAAGAAGAAAATGAAGCAGAAATCAGAAGTTACAATTACAGCTAAATCAGTAAGATCTATCCAACAACAGGGATTCCACCCACAAATGCTGTGCCTTCATTCTGAATACTGTTCAAGGTCAATCCTTCACTTTCAAGGTCAATCCAGTCACTTCAAGGATCCCATCCATCCATCCCATCCATCCATCTTGCCCTTGGTCGGCCCCTCTTCCTTTTTCCTTCCATTTTCCCCAGCATAATTGTCTTCTCTAAGCTTTCCTGTCTTCTCATGATGTGGCCAAAGTACTTCATCATGGCCTCTACTATCCTTCCCTCCAATGAGCAGTCGGGCTTTACTTCCTGAAGTATGGAGTGGTTGGATCATCTCGCAGTCCAAGGCACTCTCAGAACTTTTTCTCCAACACCACAGTTCAAAAGCATCTATCTTCCTTCATTCAGCCTTCCCTAAGGTCCAGCTCTCACATCTGTAGCTGACTATGGGGAATACCATTGCTTAACTATGCGGATCTTCGTTACCAGTGTGATGTCTCTACTCTTCACTATTTTATCGAGATTGGACATTGCTCTCCTCCCAAGAAGTAAGCATCTTCTGATTTCCTGGCTGCAGTCTGCGTCTGCAGTAATTTTTGCACCTAGGAATACAAAGTATGTCACTGCCTCCACGTTTTCTCCCTCTATTTCCCAGTTTTCAATAATTCTTGTTGTCATAATCTTGGTTTTTTTATGTTTAACTGCAACCCAGCTTTTGCGCTTTCTTCTTTCACCTTGATTAGAAGGCTCCTCAGCTCCTCCTTTCTTTCAGCAATCAAAGTGGTGTCATCTGCATATCTAAGGTTGTTAATGTTTCTTCCAGCAATTTTTACCCCAGCCTTGCATTGGTCAAGCCCTGCACATGGCATGATGTGTTCTGCATACAAGTTGAATAGGTTGGGTGAGAGTATACAACCCTGCCGTACGCCTTTCCCAATCTTGAACAGGTCTGTTGTTCCATGGTCAGTTCTTACTGTTGCTGCTATGTGTTACTACTGGAAGATTATTAAATGGTAAGGATGCTATGGAAAAAGAATAGTGTTTAACCATGTGTTCGTAAAATCATAGAATCAATAGAGTTGGAAGAGACCACATGGACAATCTAGTCCAACCCCTTGCCTTGAAGGAAAAACATAAAGTACCCCTGACAAATGGCCATCCAGTCTTTATTTAAAAGCCTCCAAGGAAGGAGCTTCCATTCTTAAACAGCTCTTACAGTCAGGAAGTTCTTCCTATTGTTAAGTGTAATTGCCTTTCCTGCAATTTGAACCCATTCTCTGAGTCCTAGTCTCCAGGGCAGCAGAAAACGAGCCTGCTCCCTCTTCCTTATGACATCCTTTCATATATTTATACATGACTATCATATCTCCTCTCAACCTTCTCTTCTGCAGACTAAACAGACTCAGCATTTTAAGTCGCTCCTGATAGGGATTCATGGTCTCCACATCTTTGATCATTTTAGTTGTCCTCCTCTGATTAAGTTCAAGTTTGTCATTTTTTTAAAAATTATGGTGCTCAGAATTGGACACAGTATTCCAGGTGAGGTCCAATCAAAGCAGACTAGAGAGGCACTATGACTTCCCTTGATCTAGACCAGTGGTTCTCAACCTGTGGGTCCCCAGATGTTTTGGCCTTCAACTCCCAGAAATCCTAACAGCTGGTAAACTGGCTGGGATTTCTGGGAGTTGTAAGCCAAAACACCTGGGGACCCACAGGTTGAGAACCACTGCTCTAGACACTATACTCCTTTTGATGCAGCTCAAAATCCCATTGGCTTTTTTTGCTGCTGCATCACATTGTTGGCTCATGTTTAAGTTGCTGTCCACTAAGACTTCAAGATCTTTTTCACATGTACTGTTGTTGAACTGGGCGTCACCCATCCTATACCTTTGCTTTTTTTTTTTTTGTAGTGTAGTATCTTACATTTCTCCTTGTTGAAATTCATTTCTTTAGTTTTAACCTAGCTCTCTAATCTGTTAAGGTCATTTTGAATTCTGATCCTGTCTTCTGGAGTATTAGCTATCCCTCCCAATTTGGTGTCATCAGCAAACTTTTATCTAAGTCATCGATAAAGATGTTGAACAGAACTGGGCCCAGGACCGAACCCTGTGGCAATCCACTAGTTACTTCTTTCCAGGATGAAGAGGAATCGTTGGTGAGCACCCTTTGGGTTCAGTTGCTTAACCAATTACAGATCCACCTAATATTAGCATTGCCTAGCCCACATTTTACTAGTTAGTTTGAAAGAAGATCATGAGTAACCTTGTCAAAGGCCTTACTGAAATCAAGATATGCTACATCCACAACATTTCCTGCATCTACCAAGCTTGTAACCCTATTGAAAAAAAGAGATAAGATTAGTCTAGCATGACTTATTTTTTGAGAATTTCACATTGATTTTTAGTGACCATGGCATTCTTTTCTAAGTGATTGCAGACTCCCTCCTTAATGATCTGCTCCAGAATCTTTCCTGGTATTGATGTCAAGCTGACTGGATGGTAATTGTCGTCGTCTTCTTCTTCTTCTTCTTCTTCTTCTTCTTCTTCTTCTTCTTCTTCTTCTTCCTTTCTTGAAGATAGGGATAATATTTCCCCTCCTCCAGTCTTCTGGGGCTTTTCCCATTCTCTAAGAATTCTCAAATATTATTAGTTCTGAAATGACTTCTGCTTATTCTTTCAATAATCTTGGATGTAGTTCATCTGATCCTGGAGACTTGAATTCATTTAGAGTAGCCAGGTATTCCTTGATTACTTCTTTACCTATTTTGGGTTGCATATCTCCCTATTGCCTTGTCCACCCCATATTGCTCAGGTTGAATACTGATTTCCTTTCGGGCAAAGATTGAGGCAAAGAAGGTTGTGAGTAATTCTGCCTTTTCCCTATCTCCTATCAGCATTTCATCATTTTCTCCACACAGAGGCCCTGCTGTTTCCTTGTTCTTCCCTTTTGTACTTTAGCCTTTTGGACCTTTTCCCTACATGTGTTTCTTATCTGTTTGAATTCCTGAACGGGTCATGGGGGCTCTGTGTGCCAAATTTGGTCATTATCGGTCTTTGTTGGGGGCCACAGAGGGTCAGAAAGAATCATGTTAGCTGAAGTTGCACATGACCTCCAGGTGCAGGTCAAACTTTTATCCAGTACCTTCATGCATAAAACCTACATGTGTGTATTGTGTTCTGCATGCTTAGGGGAAACTATAAATCCCCACAAAACTAGAGTTGTCTATTTCATTCTGAATACTACAGAACTAATTTCACTTACGAGTATTGAATATTTGCAGTGAGTTTTGATTTGATATTGATAAGCTTGATTGTGATTTTATGCACTCTATACACAATATTAATAGAATGTATATTTGCCTTCTTTTTCTCCAGCAGCCATGCCTCATTTCTTGGATTGGTTTGTGCCAATGTATTTGATGATCTCAATTCTGATCTTGGTGGGCTTTGGTGCCTGCATATACTACTTTGAGCCAGGACTACAGGAAGCACACAAATGGCGGACGCAACGGCCAATCATGGAACGAGACCTTCGGAAAACATTGATGATACGAGATAACCTTGCATTTGCAGTGCCTGAAGTTTAGAATCTTGCTGTCACATAGAAATGTGAAAGTATCTATAATATACAAAGTCCATTTTCTTTTTCAAGTTACAGTGAGAGCTAACTCAGGGCATTTTTAAACTGCAAATGATGTGGTCAAACCATTACTTCCTTTCTTACTGACATGAATTCCTTTTAAAAGTATACTTTGCTGTCATATACACTTCTAAGACAAGGCTTCTAGACTAATGTCATCTCAAAGCACATGTTTTCAGTCTTTAAACAACTGCCCTAAAAATTGGGACATCTCTTGATTTGGAATTTTTGACTCTTCAAAGTTAATATTTTCCGTTAGCTTGGTTGGAATGGCTAGATCTTTACTAAAACTTTGTATATTATTTCCCAGGAATATACAATGTTTTACTGTGAGTGTAATCTGAAGTTATTGCTTGATTGCCTCCTGGGCAAGTGTCCAACTCCTAAAGACCACTCTTGCCATGACGTCATTGCTGTAAGTTTCTCAGTTGAGTACAAACCTCAGAATTGATTGATTACACAGACCAAATTCCCCTCTGACATTCATCATTGAGCTCCAATATATTGAATGGCACATTTTGTGAAGCTTATTCATTGTCTATTTGTATACATTTGGATTTCAGAGAGTTTCGGTGCTCAAAAGCGCTCTCTGCCTCAAAATTCATTTTTCTAAAAATCACTTTAGGATTAACTATGCTAATTAAACATCAATAAGGATGCAGGGGGCTTTCTCTATGATTTATTGAGGCTTTTGTTGCAAGCATGAGATCTATTTTTTCTGGACTTGTGTGATCTAGAACCCAACAGTGGGAAAAACACTTTTTCAATCCTTTCCTGCTGCTGTCTTCTGAAGGAGACCTATCAGGTGTATCCTCTCAGTCACTGTTTATTTTTTAGACAGATCGCCAAAACATCTAACTGTGAAGTATCTTCACACAACCTACCTTTCTGCATGCCTTCTAAAAGGAACTATTATGCAAGCTGTGACCATGCAGTTCCAAACACTCACCATCCTTCTATACCTCTATTGTATTGGGTGTTTATGAAGTAGCACTGTTCTTTTATCCTTTCAGAGCGTTTGCACTTTGATCCATGCTTCTTATAGGGAAGCTGCATTGCCAAAGGGAAAATAGACTCACTTGTAATCCCAACTATACTGTTTATAGTGTGTAGATAGCCTACTAATAATATTGGCAGAATCTAGAACCTATGGCAGGGGCAGACAACTGACTTTCCAGAAGTTGTTGGATTGCATTGCCCAGCATTCCAGTCCAACAGCTTCTGATGGGCCACAGATTCCCACCCTTGACTTATGGCACAGAGAGTGTCTCCATAGCCCCTATCCTCTTTGACTGCAAAGTGGATTTTATACTCTCTGGCACAGTGTTACATGTTCCATTGTTTTACCATAATAATGTTCTAGTCTTGTGATAACCGGCTCTACATGTATACATTCCATTTTAGGTTAGGGACTTGTGCCTTTACTTCTCCATAAGAAGGTAACACAGACATTGATACCATAAAAAATAACATCTCTCTATTTTCCAGACAGTCCCCAAATTTCACTCTGCCCTCAACACCAGAGACTTATCTTTACACTGGGTGCTGAATACACTCACTTCTACCCAATAGCACAACATTTTCTCTGTCTCCCATATTATCCTGCCATATATAGGTGCTGCCTTCCCATATACTTCAATACATTCCATTGTGTCTATTGTTTCATTCTGTGCCATAGTCCGTGATGGAGCACATACTACCACAGGAACCTGGAAGCCTGCTGGAAACATGCTCAGTCATTTATCGTGTCTTTTCAGTGAGCTCACAATGAATTGTTTGTAGGATAAAATTGTTTGCCCAGTGGTTACTCTTGCCTGATAATGGATGCTTTGTTCTTTCAGCAGTTTGAGTAGAGTATATTGTGATGTGTGATTTGTAGTGACTGCCTAAAGACACTGCTAACATTGACAAATACAGTTTTTAGCACAAAAAGGGGAAACATTGTTTTTTTGGTGGTTTTTTAGCATGTGGGGTTTTTTATCCATGCAGGTGTAAAGATCGTATCAGATCTGACCCGCTGCATAAAAACTTCTATGGGATTTATTTCCCTTCACATAGGCAAACAGACAGTGAGAGAAAACATCAGTTTCTGAGATGGCTAAAAGAGCAGGATGGTTTGCACCATAGATCTTGACTAGAATTTGGAAAGGTTACTTTGGGGCCAGTAACTCCCAGAAGCCCTCAGCTAGTATGGCCAGCCACTAACTGAGATTTCTGGGAAGCTATAAACAGCAAAATGCCATGGGTCTTAATGGAATATGTGTCTTTTTAAGCACCTACAAATTCCATTTATTCCTAGTACTGTTCAGTTGGTTGTTTGCTGGCCCCAACTGAGAGGTCCTTGCATGTAGCAACAGGCTCTCCAAGAACCAGCCTTTCTATTAAGCAAAATAAGCACCAGCCCTTGGATGACATAAAAATGACAAATTGTCAATTATTTATTTATTTATACTGAGTGTGCATATGTCCATGCATGTATTGGATTTCTTCTTAGTTACCAAAACATCACAGAGCACTTTGAGTGGCATTCTGTGATATATAAAGATCAGATGGTACTGCCACAGTTAACCTTCTGTTTAGTGAGTGCATGTATGAATCTGATTCGGCACTGGGCCTTGAGTATCCCTGTGTAAGTGTGATAGGTATCTTAACTATGTGCAAGATTGTTCAGGTGACAATGGGGATTAAACTAAAAAAAGGAATGCACACAATCAGATTTGCCTTTTTGAATTGGAAGAATTGTCTTTTTATTAAACTGTTTTTATGGTGCCTGACTCCTCCCATTAGAAGGAATACTGGCTAAACCAGGCATGGGCAAACTTGGGCCCTCCAGGTGTTTTGGACTTCAACTCCCACAATTCCTAACAGCCCCTGGCGGGTCCAAGTTTGCCCATTCCTGGGCTAAACAATCTCAAGCCTTCAATCTGCAATTTGTTTATTGTGAAGTCCAACTCCAACTCCCTGGCTTGTTTTTCTCCCGACAAGCAAGATAAATGGATTGTGGTATGTTTTTGATGTTTTTCTTTTGTTGGGTGTAAAAGAAATAACAATGCCAGTATTAAACACCACAAAAAGCAAGCCATTGTCTAGCCAGTCCTTTTCTTAGTGGGACAACTAGCAGGTGCACAAGCAGACTACACAATTTGTAAGTCCAATGTGTTCTGGGTTATTTCTCAGTCTGAGTAGGCCCTATGAAAAGGCAGCATTGTTGGGGTTTAAGATGATATTCTGCTCCTTATCGTGAATAGAAATGAATGGTCATCCATCTGTGTCCATGACCAATTACTTGGTACTGCTAATATAGCCATAGTCTCTGAGTGTCACTTGGAGACCTGTTTTCTGGGCCTTGATTTCTTCTGTGATGACTAGATAACCAATGCAAATAAAGGGACCCCAGGCTGTGCAATGGGGCAGCAATAAGTATCCTTTATAAAAGTTTTATTAGAGTTTTATGACTTTGTGAACTGGCTACATTGTTATTTAACACTCTATGTTGTTCTTGTTCTTTTGGGGGGGGGGTTCATTACACAAAATATTTTTGCACTAAAACACTTCATTTTGCTCATGTTTGAAGGTTCTTTTCTCAGGGCTGCATCACATGGTGATAGTGAGAGGGGAGAAGGTATGTTTGCAGTATATCCTGTGTTTTGATTGTACTGCAAATGTGTTTTTCATATAACTAAAGTAATTCTCACTATAAAATAATTTAGGTCATGTAGTCATCCCTTAGCTGTATGCTTTTTACAGATACAGTGATTTCACTAAAACTTCAGAATATATCCTGCAGTAGTCACAGAGTACTGATATACACTGCATTGGTAGTGAGTGTTCCCCCACTACTTCGCTGTTTCCTTTTAGCAGACTCACTGTTTCGCGGGTTTTTGAAAATATTAATAAAAATATTAAATATTAAATATTTACATCCAGTGGAGGGCAGGGACCCCGGAAGTGTGGCGGCCTGAGGCATGGCGGGGAAGGCCTTCCTCCCTGGCCTGCTGCTGCCTGCGTGGCTCCAGAGACTCCACGAAGGCCAGGGTTTTCCTTTAGAGTTTTCTTGGCAACATTTGGTCAGAGGGGGTTGCCTTTACAAGTGCTGAAACCACTACATCAGTAGTTCTCAACCTGTGGGCCCCCAGGTGTTTTGGCCTGCAAGTCCCAGAAATCCCAGCCAGCTTACCTGTTATTAGGATTTGTTAGGAGTTGAAGGCCAAAACATCTGGGGACCCACAGGTTGAGAACCACTGCACTACATTATGCTAGCTCGGGTCTGCCATATGTGGAAGTAAAATGGAATTTGACTTTAGCCTGGTGTCCAGTCATGGATGGAAAAGAAACCAGCTGCATAAGGTACATGCATGTAATTGGAATATCAAATTTTCACTTCAACTATGAGCTTCATATACTCATGAAGTTTCGAACCCCAACTTTCTTTAAAAAAGTGAAAAATCTTGACATGTAAGATCATCAGTTGTACCATGTCAAACCAAATGTCTATCCAGTCCAACATCTTGGACCCTAATGGCCAAGCTGTTGCCTTTGAGAGGTCTCTTGGAGCATAATATACCCTTTTACTTGTGTTCCACAGTAACTTGCATGTAAAGGCATATTGTCTTCAATACTGGAAGGAATATGTTGCCAATATGACTAGTATCCATTAATATCCTTACCCTCTAACACAGTGGTTCTCAATCTGTGTGTCCCCAAGTGTTTTGGCCTTCAACTCCCAGAAATCCTAAAGCTGGTAAACTGGCTGGGATTTCTGGGAGTTGTAGGCCAAAACACCTGGGGACCCACAGGTTGAGAACCACTGATCTAAAAGCTCTCAAAAAAGCTTGCAATTTTTTATTTCTGTCCTGGGTTAACTCAGGAATTCTTTGCCCCACATGTTACCAGCATGATTTTTATTTTAGTAGCAGAAGATATTTTAAAAAACTAAACAGACAAAGCTCTGCATGCCAACACTTCTTAGAATCTGTAGAGCAAGCTAAATACTTGGAAATATCTTCCTAACATAGAGGGAGCTGATATATATTATTTGATTTAAGAAACTGAAAAGCCTGTTTATCCAAGCTTTCTTTTTGTTAAAAAGACATAGAAATTATAACAGAGGTTATGAGGTGTCGGTTACCCTTCAAATGGTGTTGGACTATCACTATAATCATCCTAGAACATTACTTATGTTGATAGGAGTTGGAGTTCAGCAACATCTGGAGAGCCACAAATTCTTACTCCTTGATTAGAACAACCAACAACCTGTATCTACTCAATCTCAAACGCTGATAACTTCTTTTCTATAGTGAATATATGTATTAACATGTTATTGTCATACCTCGATTATAGCTTTAAGGCCTCATCTGGGGCGACTATTGAACTGGAAAAAAAACCCACTAGAAATAGTCCAAGTCCTAAAACATATCCATATTTGATGTAAACATTCAAATAAATATATGGTGTTTTAGACTTCTATCATAAATTATTTAATTTCATTCTGATCACTCCATTTCATCATTTACTGCATTATTCTGATATTAGGAGAGCACTGAAATGAACAATAATGAGATAAAGTGGGTGTAGTATTTTACAAATACGCTGCAGAGGTCACTGTTAATATTGGTCAACAATATATGAATAAGCTGTGATGTTAGTTTACTTACAAAACCATATTTCTTTTTAGTTCTCATGCTGTCTTGTGCTGTAAATTTAACTGTGAACTTATTTGTCTCAGGAGCTAAGAGAAAGCTGAAAGCAGTGCAATGCCTTTGTGATGTCTTGGAAAGTATTTTTCTCAGCATAATTTTGTGCTGTTCATTTGTGAATTATCCTGCTCCTGATGAAATGCTATTTCATGTTACATGTCAATTAGTGCTTTAATATGAACAGATATATAATTGTAATAAACTATTAGAAACACGTTTCCTGTTGTTTCTTATTTCTGGTATTTATATGAAATTTTTGAACCAGGGATTTCCTTGGCTAAGCCTATGAGGTGCATATGTTCATGTGTTTTTTTTCCAGATTATTGTGTGCTTTCAAGTCATTTTTCTTAACTTATGGCACCCCTAAAGCAAACCTATGATGGGGTTTTATTAGCAAGATTTGTTCAGAAGGGTTTACCTTTGCTTTCCTCCAAGGCGGAGGAAAGGCCCAAGGTCACCCATGGCCTTTAAACCTTCAAGGCCTTTCCAAAAAACTACACCATGACTCCATGTTACAAAATACAAATCTCTTCCTGCAGACAATACCATTTGGGGACAAATATCAGCCAAGAGGAAGTAATATTCATCCAGGAACGGGTGCAGGTCCTGGTCAGGATCAAGAACACATTCTAGATTAGGACCCATGGCTTCCTATTCTTAGGATTAGCCCTGATTACTGCTTGAATGGGAGACCACCAATAAATCCCAGGTGCTATAGGCATATAGGAAGGAAATAGTAAAATCACTTCTTAGAATTCCTTGCCTAAGAGATCTTATTAAATTCATAAAGTCACCATAAGATAACTAGCATCATGCATTAATAATCTTTGTTGACTGCAAACCTACAACTAATTACATATTCTCATTTTACATACACCTTAGTGGTGGCCCCCCGGCTGTGGAACTCCCTCCCTAGGGATATTAGATCAGCCTCTTCCCTCCTGACCTTCCGCAAAAAGTGAAATCATGGCTTTTAAAACAAGTCTTTGGGAACCAAGTACAATAGATAAACACGGAACTATGTGAAATCGAATACTTGAATGGCTTGGACAATGTTTTTGGACAACGAGGCTAATAGTGAAGCTAATGGCTTTATATGTTTTTAAAAGTTTTAATGTATGTATTATATAGTTCTGTTTTAAATGTTTATTGTAATTTTTACATTGTTTTAATGACATCAAATAGCTGCCTATGTTGTAAAGCTGCCTTGAGTCACCTTTGGGTTCAAGAAAGGTGGGATCTTGATGTTGAATGATGTTGTTGCAATCATTTTAGTATGCTATCTTCAATGATGCACAGAAATTATAAATAACATGATTTTTTGAGGATTACCTATAATAAACTAAGGGATCTGTGCACCACTGGTTTACAACAGGGATGGGGAACAAGAGGGATTCTGATTATAGGACTGCAAATTCCATAATCTCTCACCATTGAATTGCTGAGTAAGGCAGATATAAACTGTAGTCCAACAATATCATATCATCCACTGCAGTGTGTACCACTTAAGGCAGATTTGTCTGGGAATGACAGGGTTAGGGTGGCAAGAATGTGGTAGGGTCAAAGGCCTGGAATGGAAGTAATGTTAGGATTCCAAGCCCTTTGAATCTTCCACAGAGAGCACATTGTTCCACCCCCTTCCTGCTTTTATGCCCTGTAAACAAACACCAAATGAAGATTGAAGTGTGTATGATGATTGGGTAGATATTAATCTTTCCATGTATTAATCTGACTAACTCATAGGATCTAATGACTTAGGAGACTCTAATCCCAAGCTAAACACTTCCAAATTATGAGCCAAGAAAAATAGTAAAAGATCCAAGAAAAGCACTATAGAACTAAGTATCTGAAAGGCATCTATAAGATTGTTGCTACATTACGGGAAGTAGCAGCCTGTAATGAAAGAACCAGGTCATTGACATCTTCGGCTGATCCTCTATGTGGATATCAACCAGCAAGCCAATGCCTTAAATCAAGAAACAGCTTCCTAAGATCTACAGAGATACTTGCAGGAACATCACAGCAAGTGAGAGTCCAAAGGTGGCAGGCGAAAACATGGAACCGCAATCAGTAGCTAATAACAGATGAGAGACTCCCCCCTGGGCACACAGAAGATTGGATGACCTGGAAGGCACCGAACAGACTGCACTCTGCCTCCATGAGATGCAGAGCTAACCTTAAGAAATGGGTCTACAAAGTGGAGTCCACGACACGTGCATGAAGTAAAGAGCAAACCACAGACCACTTACTACAATGCAACCCGAGCCCTGAAAAATGCACAATGGAGGACCTTCTCACAGCGACACCAGAGGCACTCCAAGTCGCCAGCTTCTGGTCAAAGGACATTTAGCATAATGCCAAGTTTTTAACTTTGTTTGTGTATTAAAATACATTATAACTGTACCCAATTAGCTTCTGACACAATAAATAAATATTTAGAGCTTGGCAAGTTATTTCTGAAGAATAGTAAGTTACAGTTATAGTTCCAAGCCCTCCAGAACTTAGTTATTCTTATAATTCAAAGGCTGTTATTTGCATTCTTGAAAGTAAGTAAAATAATTACTTTTTAATCTTTTTAAAATGAATGCTATAGGCCATGAGGCATACATAGTTTCTTCTTGGCTTCAACTGCTCATTGCCACAACACAACCCAAAGAGTTCAAGAAAGTAACAGAAGATACTGATTTAGTCATACAATACTATGAATTCACATCCCTCTAACTATAAAAGAAACTAAGAGTTATGCTCCAAAAGGAGTGAAGTTTTTCCTCCTAATGTAACACTTATAATATACTACTGCATTAATTATCATAAAAGGGGATGAATTACAAATAAGCAGTAAATTTATAAATTGTCACTTCTGAATTCTGGCATCTCTTTAAAGTGACAGGAATAACCAAAGTGATATTTAAGTGATACTTTCTGTCAAGAGGATTTATAACTATTGCTGTTTTGGTGTGATTGTAGCCTTGCCTTCCTTGCTGACCTTGCTTGTCCTTCTGAAGAATTGACCATAGATTATTGCATATACTTTAGCAGCACTATGATATGTCTGAGAAGAGGTTTGCTACAGATAGAGGAAGGGAATATCAACATCTACAGCAGTGGTTCCCAGCCTTTTTTTGACCAGGGACTACTTTGACCATGGACCACTCTCCAACGCTAGTACCAAAAGGGTTACGAATCAGTTTTTGGTCAACTTTAGATTTGGTTTGGAATGCTAATTCAGAAAATTGCATTGGATAGACCATATCAGCTCTAGTTTCTGATACAGAACATATGCCATGGTCAGCAATAGGGAAGGAATGGCAGGTGGCATGAAAGGAGCAGAAATAAAATAAAATAAAGCAGGAGGAGGCTCGTGGACCAGATTTTCATCCTTGCGACTCACTGGCAGTCTGCGTCTCACAGGTTAAAAATAACCTGGATTTAAACCTGCGACTGGTAGGACTGAAAGACCGACAGGTCACAGGTTCAAATCCAGAGAGAGCGTGGATGAGCTCCCTCTATCAGCTCCAGTTCTCCATTGCAGGGACATGAGAGAAGCCTCCCACAAGGATGATAAAACATCAAAACATCTGGGCATCCCCTGGGCAATGTCCTTGCGGATGGACAATTCTTTCACACCAGCAACAACTTGCAGTTTCTCAAGTCATTCCTGAGACACACACAAAAACCCAAATTAAAATTAAAAATTCTTATACCTGCATGTGTCATTGATAGAATGCCAGTCTATGCCTTTCCATTTCTATATCTCTGTCCCCAGAGGCTTCACTTCATGCATTTGATGAAATGAGCTAAAGTCCATAACAGCTTATGCTGGAAATTGTTTCTTTTCAATTAGTCTGAAGGAGAATTCTTTCATGTCAAAATATATGTGTATCGTGATGTGTGTGTTCTTTGATTAACCCCAAGTCTACTGCAAATTCTTGAGCTACAATTAACTCAGAAGTCTTAGTAGTGTGAACATGTCTGCAAGTACCAGCAATCTAGGTTCCAATGCTACTTTACAGACCACCATAGCGAGTCCATTTTTTTAGGCGCCAGGGTAGTTTGTACAGCAACAGAATCCCAATGCTGTCTCAGTCACCTCATGTCAAACATTCAGAACCTGAACAGGGTCTCAGGGTGAGGACGGATTCACAACAGACCTCCACAATGAGCCCCCATCCACAATCTGTTTCCTAAAGCCTTTAGTGCTGGTGGGATTTGAAAGCAGGAGGATAAAACACAAGTCATAAGGAGGAGGGAGCAAGCTTGTTTTCTGCTGCCCTGGAAACTAGGATGCGAAAAAATGGCTTCAAACTACAGGAAAGGAGATTCCACCTGAACATTAGGAAGAACTTCCTGACTGTGAGAGCTGTTCAGCAGTGGACCTCTGTCCCGGAGTGTGGTGGAGTCTCCTTCTTTGGAAGCGTTTAAACAGAGGCTGGATGGCCATCTGTTGGGGGTGCTTTGAATGCAGTTATCCTGCTTCTTGGCAGGGGGTTGGACTGGATGGCCCATGAGGTCTCTTCCAACTCTATGATTCTATGATTCTATTCACCCTCCATCCACCCAGACAGGTATCTGAAATGCATGTGAGATTTGCTTGCTAAGTTGTTATCTGAAAAATGAATATTCTCAGTGCTTGCTGTTGTTGACAGTGTTCCATGCAAGGAGACCTTTAGGATGCATTCACTTGTTTTTTTCTTCTTCTCATTTTCTTGTTGGAGCTCTTCATAAGTGCTCCCATTCAGTGCCCCTGCCCACTCCTTCATGTCTCTGTGTTGAGCTGTGTTCAGCTCCAAGTTCTCCCCTTTCCCTTAGTTTTTCACTTTAGAAGGATGAGGAAACACTCCACAGTTAAAGAGAATGGATAGAAAAAGCAAAAAACACACGAGGAAGAAGGGTGGATCCACTCACCATGGTTTTCTGGAGATCTGAATATTACACATCTGCAGCTTCTTGTAACGGCTGATGTAGTCAACTATTTTGGCAGAGTTTGCTATGATCTACAAGAGCCCAGGAGAAGGTCCAGTTGTCCTTTGAAAAAAACCCAGGAATATTTATGAAGTCTCTGGGATATTGGATACTTGTTCATGGTGGAAACTCAGCTCCTTCACACCTACATCCCAGGTAAGCCTTTAATGCTCTCTTTCATCATAAGAATCCTCTGATGGGAAAAAATGCCGGAACAAGGAAAACAATTGAGGCAGGCAATCGTTTTTAAGATATCAAAAAGCAGACCGAGATAGATATTATGTTCTGTGTTTACATATATTTCTGTTGTCTCATGCAAACTCTAGTAAAACAGGAATTGAAAATGATTGAAACACTACAAAAATCTGTATTGTCGAAGGCTTTCGTGGCCAGAATCACTGTGTTGTTGTAGGTTTTTCAGGCTGTATGGCCATGTTCTAGAAGCATTCTCTCCTGACGTTTCACCTGCATCTATGGCAGGTATCCTCGGAGGTTGTGAGGATGCCTGCCATAGATGCAGGCAAAATGTCAGGAGAGAATGCTTCTAGAACATGGCCGTACAGTCCAAAAATCCTACAACAACCCACTACAAAGATCTGTTTGCTCAAAATAAGAGTGAAGTGATTACACAACAATTATCATTTTAATTCTTGCAAATTATTATTTGTCTCTGTTCCTATCCTTCATATGAAAACTGGATAAGTAAACAGGCTGAGAAGTGGGTTATTGTCTTGCATGCAGCAGGGAAGCAAAATGTCTCTCTGGCCCCTTCTACACAACTAAGTAAAACCCCACACTATCTACTTGGAACTGGAATATATGGCAATGTGGACTCACATAACCCAGGGCCCTTCCACACAGCCCTATATCTCAGAATATTGATGCAGAAAATTCCGCAATATCTGCTTTGAATTGGGTTATCTGAGTCCACACTCAGATATTTGTGGGATCTTCTACCTTGATATTCTAGGCTATAGGGCTGTGTGGAAGGGCCCCCAGTTAAAGTAAATATTGTGGGATTTTCTGTCTTGATATTCTGGGTTATATGGCTATGTAAAGCATTCAGGGCACTCTGAATGCTTTACTTCCCTGTAAGGTTCTGTGTAAATAATATTCAAACAAAATATTGTTGTAAACTTTTGCATATGTTTTCTGTTGGCTGGACCAATAATAAATATGTTGATCTCAGGGACAATCTTTTATAAGGAGGACATTTTGTGTCTGAGGTTTCTGATAAAGTGATATTTTGGTAAAACTCACTTCGGAGTTCTTCAGTTTAGACTGAAGCTGCAGCCTGAAGGGAATTGTGACGATATATTTCATCTGCAACTTACCTTCCCAGGATTTGCATGATTTCAAAGTAGATATCTGAAAGCTGAAGCCTATTCAGGCTGATTATGCAACATAAATGTAGAGTCCCATTGTTGTCATGTGCCTTCTAGTCAAGTCCAACTTATGGCAATCCTATCACAGGGGGAATAGGGATATGCAGAGAAAGTTTGCCATTGTCTTCCCCTTAGGCTGTGAGAGTATAATCTGCCTAAGGTCCCCAGTGTATTTCCAAGGCAATTTGGGGATATGCATCAGTGCTTCCTGGAGTTTTAGTCAAATACTCACACTACTATACCACACTGATTGTCTGTTAGGTCCCACATAATAAAAATATCAGAGAGATGGAAAGCTACTTTTTGGATTGCATCTCTTTAAATTCCCAGACAGCAAGACAGGCTGGGAGCTGTGTTCACAGTCATTGACAGAAGGTCATGGCTAAGTCAATGGTTTTTGTTTTATTTAGAACTGAATGATGAATACCCTGCATCAGTGCTTCCTTTATCTTCCTTTATCCCTCCCCCCCCCCCCTTTTAGGTACAACAGAGATAACAAGCCATGACAATGGAGAAGGAATATTGTCATTCCTCCCGCCGGATTCAAAGGCATATTCCAACTCTAGGAGCCTCGTCCAATCCCAGCCGCATCCCAGGCCGTTCAACTCACTCTGTTGGAAGTGGAAGTGGACATGGCAGTGGAAGTGGAAAACTGGCAGCTCTTAACCCCATCTTGAAGCAGGACACCTGCCTCAACTCATTCATGCAGGACTCCATGAAACGAACCTCCTTAGGAAAGAGCCAAGGGATACCCAAATTTAATTCCCGGCTTGGTCCCCCCAAACCACCTCGTAGCCATGAAGTCCTCACATCATGCCTTCCTCACCCAACACCACAGCCCCCTGAGTGGACAGCAGCCAATGGTTTGGAACCACGGAAACTAAGTTCTCTCTCATTTACGCTTAACAAGAGCAGCAGCATCCCTCCACCTGGCCGACAACTCCTCCTACACTACATGGCAAAGAGAGAATTCAAGAAGGTTCCCCTTAGAAAGGAAGCAAGGCGAGGGGAGTCGCGTTTACCAAGCCCCCAGTCACCATCTGGATTACAGACCTTTCCCCCAACTGCAGATGAGAGCTCTACGAATTTGCTCACTGCTTGCTGCCGTGAAGGTGCAAATCAAGTTAAAGACACAGAAATACCAGGTCCTCAGAGAAATGTAGCTCCCTCTAATCCACCATCATTGTCCCCTCAGTCATCTCCTGAAACCCTTCCAAAACATCTCACTATTTCAGCACCAAAGAAGGAAACTGTTCAAGAGGAACCTGCTTCTGAGGGAAGATGTGATGTTTCAAACAACACAGATACTGGATCTCGAGAGTGCCTTGAGGATGAAGCCACGGAGGCCAATCTCATCTCTGAAGATTCCACCTCTCCTCCTGAGACAAACCCAGATGCATTTGACTGTAAGTCCAACAGGGAGCATGGGTCTGGCATTGGTGTACATATGTGGAGTGGTGAGCTCTGTCTTGAACAACACGATGCACACACTGACGGCAGATGGTGCCTCTTATGTCTGTGGTATAGTGAGTAGGCTTTGGGCTTTAGACAATGCTTTAAAGGATCCATTTGGGGGGGGGGGGGTCAGGTTCCGTACCTTGGATAGCTATTTTAAAGTTTAAACTAAGACCTGGGGTGGCATAACTCCCACCCTTCCACCCCCACCCCATTGACATGAGGACCATCTGCTGCAACTGCACCCCAGAATTCCCTGAAGCAATATTGTGATGTACAGGCAGTCCCCAAGTTACAAACAAGATAGGTTCTGTAGGTTTGTTTTTAAGTTGAATTTCTATGTAAGTTGGAACAGGTACATTTTTTTTTCAGCAGACCTCTAGCCAATATAAATCTAGAGGATTGTGAAAATTGACAAAAAGGTTAATTCAGAGACAGTGGGTTGCTGTAAGTTTTTCGGGCTGTATGGCCATGTTCCAGAAGCATTGTCTCCTGACATTTCACCTACATCTATGGCAGGCATCCTCAGAGTTTGCCCCAGTTAGTTGGCTGCTGACCTTTCCACTAGCTACAATTTCCAAGTCGTCTTCAAAGGCAGCCCCATACAGAGTGCATTACAGTAGTCCATTCTGGATGTAACTGTCTGGATGTAAGCAATGAGATATATGCTCTCTCTCAGAGGCAGGATATAAGATTATGTAGGTGTCGGCTATGCCGGCTAAGTGCAGCTATCCAAATGTTAAACCAGAGGGATTTGCAGAAATATTGTGCATATCCATCAGTCATCATTTGTAAAGAAGACTGCATGGATGAATACTGATATGAGGTATATTTCACTTCTTGGTCATGGGGCAATGGCTCCCCAGCCTGGCTACATGCAGTGAAATACATCAGGAAAGAACTGTCGTGGTCAGCAATCTCTACATGAGCTGTGCTTTTTATTTCATCTCCTGTGAAAATTGCTTCCCTTTGCACACGGTGGGTGTCTCTCCATCTGCCAAAGCAAATGCAAATGTCTGAGAGATGTGGAGAACTGGAGGTGTGGACGAGACACGCCTCCCGGCTCTGAGGCTTTCGTGCTCACCATGACAAATGCACCGAGACACACACAGATGTGGATGCCTACAGGCGCATGGAGAAACCGCCTGGGCACGCTCTGCACACTGACAGGGAGGCAGATTTCCCCTCGCCTGGGCGACAGGCAGATCATTGCTGGCAGACACTCCACATCTCCATGCAGCTGGGAGCAGCTCCTTGCTGTTTCCAAAGACTTAGGATGGCGGAAGGTGTACATGGAGGTAGAACGCTCTCCATAAGCCACTGGCTTCATTTGCTGCCATTGTGTGCCTTCAAGGCTTTTCATTTGCTAGGAGCCCCCAGTGGCACAGTGGGTTAAACCCTTGTGTAGGCAGGACTGAAGACTGACAGGTCACAGGTTCGAATCTAGGGAGAACGCGGATGAGCTCCCTCTGTCAGCTCCGACATGAGAGAAGCCTCCCACAAGTATGGTAAAACATCAAAAACACTGGGCATCCCCTGGGTAACATCCTTGCAGATGGCCAATTCTCTCACACCAGAAGCGACTGACAGTTTCTCAAGTCGCTCCTGTCACACAAAAAAGCCATTTGCTGTCATTGTGTGCATTCAAGGCCCCATTGTGAGGTTTTCTTGGCAAAATGTGTGCAGAGGAGATTGCCCATTGCCTTCCTCTGCAGCCAAGAGAATGTGATATACCCAAGGTCATGTAATGGGATGGTATAGCCAAATTGGGGGGGGGGGGGTACAAACTCTGTCTTCCTGAGTGGTAGTCCTAACACTCAAGCTCTGCACCATGTTGAGATCCTCAAAAAACTGAAAACAGTGGGGCTAAAATGCTGAATGTGGATGAAGTGGTTTATTTATTTATTTACAACATTTATATGCTGCCCTTCTCACCTCGAAGGGGACTGAGAGCGGCTTACAAGTTATATGTAAATACAATATAATATGTTACTAGCTGTCCCCTGCCACACGTTGCTGTGGCCCAGTCTGTGTATATGTGTTTTGTGTGTGTGTGTATGTGTATACGTGTGTATATATTAGTGTATATATGTGGTTTTGCGCATGCGTTGTCATGGGTTTGGGTTTTTTTTTTGCTTTTTAAGTCTTTTCAGTGTTTTATGCGTGATGGTCACTTGTTGGCCTGATAGGTGCATTGTCTCCAAATTTGGTGTCAATTTGTCCAGTGGTTTTTGAGTTAAGTTAATCCCACAAACAAACATTACATGTTTATTTATATAAGACTAGCATTGCCATGGTCAACCTTCCCTCCCTCTTGTCCTCCTTCCTTCCCTTTTTTAGTTTCATTCTCTCCTTCCTTCCTTGTCTTCCTCTTCTCTTCCTCCTCCCTTTTCTTTCCCTTCCTCTTTCTCCCCTTTCTTACTTTTCTACCTATTCTTGCACTGCAACTCCCAGCAGTCCTCCTGATCAATCTACCTATCTATCTATCTATCTATCTATCTATCTATCTATCATCTATCTATCTCTATCTAATCTTATCCATCTGGAGGATTGCTGGGAGTTGCAGTCAAGGAATAGGAAATTGGAAATATGCAGGGATTGGGATGCTCTCAAAAAATCCAAGGAGAAAAAAGCTTGCAGTTTGGGAGCAGTGCATTTGGATCATCCTCTTCTCCTAAAGGGCCTAGTCTAGGGGATGCTGGGAGATGTAGTCTGGAAGAGAATGTGGATATGCTGTTGTATATTTTGTTTGCCAGGGGGAGTCATTTTTGCACATGCGCTGTAGCATCTTTTTGCTTTTTTGGCTTTTAAGTCCCTTCCTCTGTGTTTTTCAGCATTTTTATGAGTGATGGTCACTCATTGGCCTGATAGGTGTATTGCAGGGGTCCCCAAACTAGGGACACAGCCCTCCAAGGTTAAGTTACCAATTACATTACATAAATTACATAAAATTATATAAAAGCCATTCGCCAGGATAAAATCGTTATACTGTAATATTATATTGTATTCTTATTAGTATTTTCTTGTTCATTTGTTCAGTCGCTTCTGACTCTTTGTGACCTCATGAACCAGCCCATGCCAGAGCTCCCTGTTGGCCGTCAGCACCCCCAGCTCCTTCAAGGTCAAAGCTAGTCACTTCAAGGATACCATCCATCCATCTTTCCCTTGGCCGGCCCCTCTTCCTTTTTCCTTCCATTTTCCCCAGCATCATTCTCTTCTCTAAACTTTCCTGTCTTCTCATGATGTGGCCAAAGTACTTCATCATGGCCTCTACTATCCTTCCCTCCAATGAGCAGTCGGGCTTTATTTCCTGAAGTATGGACTGGTTGGATATTATGTTATATAATATTATAATACTATATATATAATAGTAGTAATATATTGTAATATATATTGTATTTTATTTCCTGAAGTATGAACTGGTTAGATAGTATAATATTATATAATATTATATTATATTACTCTCTCTCTCTCTCTCTCTCTCTCTCTCTCTCTCTATATATATATATATATATAATATTAGTAATAAATTGCAATATATATTGTATTGTTATGCTTCTAGAACATGGCCATATAGCCTGAAAAACCTACAACAACCCAGAGATTCCAGCCATGCATGCCTTCGATAATTATATATATATATATATATATATATATATATATATATATATATATAAAAGATTGGGGGGGGGGAATAAATATGGCTCTGGCCCCATCCTTCCCATTCATTTAGCACCTACACCCTCCCTTTCCAAGAGCCAGCATCCATTTTCCTGCCTCCCAGGGCGGCCCTAGCCTTTGGGGTCCTGAGAGGGAGGGGGAAAGGGGGGAGGCAATGAATGGGGGGGTGTGATTTTGCAGGGAGGGAGGAAGGGGGAGAGGCAGGTCACGTGAGCTGGGCTTGGGCAGCAGCCGGGTTGCTTTGAGATCTCCTTTGGAGAAGAAGGAGGGAAAAGGGGTGGGGGGAGGAAGAAGGAGAGAAAGAGGAAGCGAGGCGCCACCCGCTTTGCATCTTCTCCGGGGGTGGGGGAGCCTTTGGGGCGCAGAGGAGGAGGAGGAGGACGACGACGGAGGCACCCCAACCCCGAAGCCAGAGACAAAAGGAGAGCTTCATGTTCAAAGGTAGGTAGATAGATAGGCAGGCAGGCAGGTGGTGATGGTCCATGCGGATGATCTGGGAGGGAGAAAGGAAGGATGAAGGATGGATGGATGGATGGATGCAGGAGGAAGGATGCTGAGGCATCTCTCCATTCATTTTGCGGGAGAAAGGGAGAAAGGAGGGCGGGGGAGACTCCGACCCACAGCCTTGGCCCATCTGCCTGGCAAGAGGGAAGAAAGCCGGCCAGAGGCGGCAAACACCCAGGCTTGGCCCGAGCCCAGCTGGCCCAAGGCGGAGAGGAGACAAGCGATGGGGTTTGGGGCTGGCGTGGCGCCTGCAAGCTGCTTTCCTGCTCCCCTTTCGGGCCACGTTGGGATCCAAGGCTGTTGTGATGTGGGTCACGGGTGGGCGGCGGCGGTGGGGAGCCCCTAGGAGTCGAGGAAAGAGGGAAAGGAAGGCGAGGACACTCACAAGGAAGGGAAAACCTCTTCCAACTCTGATTCTATGAATACACCTCCCTGCCTGTGTGGGAAAAGCACAAGAAGGGGGAGAGGGTTTGGGGTGTGGATGGCCTCTCCTCCATACATTCAAAGGATGAGCAGGGAAGAGGAATCTATGGATGGATGTGATTTAAAGGGACCAAGCTGTCAGGCTGCAAGGGACCAAGGCCAGGATCTTTTGTGTGTGTGTGTTTCTTGGGGTAATTACAGGAATCAAGGGGGAAAGAGAGACTGTTGGACTAGGCAAATGTACCCTGCTGCTTCAGTGAAGCATCTCAAAGGAAGATGGCTTATACAGGGTCCTTCTTTTGTCTACACCAGTGGCTCTCAACCTTCCCAATGCCGCAACACCTTGATACAGTTCCTCGTGTTGTGGTGACCCCCAACCATAAAATTATTTTTGTTGCTACTTCATAATTGTAATTTTGAAACTGTTATGAATCGACATATCTGATATGCAGGATATATTTTCATTCACTGGACCAAATTTGGCACAAATACCCAATATGCCCAAATTTGAATACTGTTGGGGTTGGGGGTTGGATTTTGTCATTTGGGAGTTGAAGTTGCTGGGATTTATAGTTTACCTACAATCAAAGAGCATTCTCAACTCCACCAATAATGAATTAAATCAAACTTGGCACACAAAGAACTCCCATGACCAACAGAAAATACTGGACAGATTTGGTGGGCATTGACCTTGAGTTTTGGAGTTGTAGTTCACCTACATCCAGAGATGTAGGTGAACTACATTGTGGACTCAAACAATGATGTATCTGGACCAAACTTGGCACAGATACTCAGCATGCCCAAATGTGAACATTGAGAGTTGTAGTTGCTGGGAGTTGTAGTTGCTGACATTTGGGAGTTGTAGTTCACCACTCAAACAATTATGGATCTGGACTAAACTTGGCATGGATACTCAATATGCCCAAATGTGAACACTGGCAGAGTTTGGGGGGAAATAGACCTTGATATTTGAGAGTTGTAGTTGCTGGGATTTATAGTTCACCTGCAATCAAAGAGCATTCTGAACTGTACCAACAATGAAATTGAACCAAATTTGGCAAACAAAGAACTCCCATGACCAATAGAAAATACTGAAAGGGTTTGGTGGGCATTGACCTTGAGTTTTGAAGTTGTAGCTGACCTACATCCAGAGAGCACTTTGGACTCAAACAATGATGGATCTGGACCAAACTTGGCACAGATACTCAATATGCCCAAATGTGAATACTGGTGGCGTTTGGGAAAAATAGACGTTGACATTTGGGAGTTGTAGTTGCTGGGATTTATACTTCACCTGCAATCAAAGAGCATTCTGAAACCCACCACTGATAGCATTGGACCAAACTTCTCACACAGAACCCCCATGACCAACAGAAAATACTGTGTTTTCTGATGGTCTTTTGTACCCCCTCTGACACCCCCTCATGACCCCCCCAGGGGTCCCAATCCCCAGGTTGAGAAACACAGGTCTACACTGATTGTGGAGGATGGCTTTGAAACAGCAACTTTTTTCCTTTCATGACTGGCAAGGATGAGGAATGTGTTGTTGAAGGCTTTCATGGCCAGAATCACTGGGTTGCTGTGAGTTTTCTGGGCTGTAGGGTCATGTTCCAGAATCATTCTCTCCTGACATTTTGCCCACATCTATGTCAGGCATCCTTAGAGGTTGTGAGGTTTCTTGGAAACTGGGCAAGTGAGATTTATATATCTGTGGAATGTCCAGGGTGGGAGAAAGAACTCTTGTCTGTTGGAAGTGTAAATGTTGCAATTAATCACAAGTCTACATAGGGACCACCAAACGTAGCATTGGCCAAACACAAATCAAGAAACATGAAGATTCAGCCATAGCAGAGCACTTGATGAACCAACCTGGACACAGCATATTATTTGAGAACACAGAAATGGTGGACCACCATGTCAGACTACACAGAGAAGCCACTGAAATCCACAAGCATGTGGACAATTTCAACAGAAAGGAAGAAACCATGGAAATGAACAAAATCTGGACAACAGTATTAAAGAACTCTAAAATCATAGAATCATAGAGTTAGAAGAGACCTCATGGGCCATCCAGTCCAACCCCTGCCAAGAAGCAGGAATATTGCATTCAAAGCACCCCTGACAGATGGCCATCCAGCCTCTGTTTAAAAGCTTCCAAAGAAGGAGCCTCCACCACACAGAAGGAGCCTCCACCACACAATCACCACAAAATCAGGAAAGAACAACACTCAAAAAGCAGGGGAATTCCAGACCTAATCAGGGCCTGTTAACACCTCCCAACAAAGGATTCCCCCAGGCAGCAAGAAGCCAGGCCTTGAAGCTGAAAGGCTGTCAAAGTGGCCAGTTGCAAAATTCACACCTGCCTCAAGCACACAAGAGTTCTTTCTCCCACCATGAACATTCCACAGATATATAAACTCCAATTACCTAGATTCTAACAGACCTCACAACATCTGATCATGCCTGCCATAGATGCAGGCAAAACATCAGGAGAGAATGCTTCTGGAACATGGTCATACAACCAGGAAAACTCACAGCAACCAAGTGATTCTACCCATGAAAGCCTTTGACAACACAAATGGATGGATGTGATTTAAAGGGACCAAGCTGTTAGGTTACAAGGAGACAGAGCCAGTATCTTTTGTGTGTGTGTTTCTTCAGGCAATTTTAGGAATCAAGGGAGAAAGAGAAACTCTTGGATTGGGCAAATGTATCCTACTGCTTCAGTGAACCATCTCATAGAAAGATGGCTTATACAGAGTCTGATTGAGGGTCCTTCTTTTGTCTACACCGATTGAGGAGGGTGGCTTTGAAACAGCGACTTTTCCCTCTCCTGCCAGGCAAGGATGAGGAATGAACTTGAGGCGTTCTGCTTTTAAAGCAATATCTCCCACGATTACCAGTTTCCAAGCGTTTTCCTTTATATTGCAATGACATAGATGTCAGCCATGCCTGTGTGGGAAATACAACAAGAGAACGGTCCAATAAATGGGGTGGAGGGGGAGAAGATCCCTCTTCTGCCCTTCATTCTATGGATCCAAATGTAGATCAAGGTGGCCTTCAAGGCTTGGAAGGGAGAAAGTGGAGACTACAGTCCTGGACACGAGTAAACCCCACATAAACCAGGACTATATCTCTGAAATGTAACATTTGGATTTCAACTGGGTTTATAAAATAATCTGGTGGTTCTAGAAATCCGATATTTATGTGAAAATATTTGGGATTATACCAGGCATGGGCAAACTTTGGCTCTCCAAGTGTTTTGGACTGCAACTCCCACCATTCCTAACAGCCTCAGGCCCCTTCCTTTTCCCCCTTAGCCGCTTAAGCGGCTGAGGGGGAAAAGGAAAGGGCCTGAGGCTGTTAGGAATGGTGGGAGTTGCAGTCCAAAACACCTGGAGGGCCAAAGTTTGCCCATTCCTTGATTATATGCTATTTGGGATTATTCACTGCTCAAAAGATCTGCACATCCTCCAAAATGCTGCTTTTTGAAAAACTCTTTTGGTATCCTAAGGCTGATGAATTATTGAATTAAACATGCGGTTGAAGACTGGAAGCTTGGGAGTTCGAACTCAATAATTTGGGAGTTTGCATATTTTGCTTACAGTCAAATGGCATGCGGTACAAAGGAATGGGACTTGAGACCAGCCTATGAGGCTGTGACCTATTTAAGATTGGCTTCTCCTAAAGATCTACATGCCTTTCACATTATACAGAGGTGAAAAGTCCTCTTTTTATGGCTTTCTGGGGAGGACGGTTTCTATACGAGGTATTTATTGTCTTCCTATCTCTATGAATAGTCAGGCTGGGGGGTGGGACCGTTTCCAGACAGCATTGTCTTCCATTTATAGCTCTCACGTGTTTTTCCAGTATTGCTTCCATTTTATTTTTTCCCCTTATTATAAAAATCCTTTAAGAAGAGGGAAATGGCATAATTGTACAGAACCTTTTGACTGGTAGTGTAATAGTAGGCGCCATTTATCCGGAAGTACTGAAGAAAATAGCACTATGAACTTATGATTCTATATTTCCGTAAATGACAAAACTGACCATTTCAGAAAATTGATAATTGGAAAGTCATATGGAAACTGTGTTGTCAAAGGCTTGCATGGCCAGAATCACTAGGTTGCAGTGAGTTTTCCGGGTTGCCTTGCCATGTTCCAGAAGCATTCTCTCCTGACATTTCACTCACATCTATGGCAGGCATCCTCAGACGTTGTGAGGTCTGTTGGAAACTAGGTTTATATATCTCTGGAATGTCTAGGGTGCGAGAAAGAACTATTGTCTGCTTGAGGCAAGTGTGAATGTTGCAATAGACTACCTTGATTAGCATTTGATGGCCTTGCAGCTTCAAAGTCTGGCTGGTTGCTTCCTGGGGGAATCTTTTGTTGGGAAATGTTAACTGGCCCTGATTGAATCTTGTCTGGAATTCCCCTGCTTTTTGAGTGTTGCTCCCAATTTGATCCATAATCAGATCTTACACATTACTATTCCCTCTTTAGAGACATAGTGCT